CATTCTGTTAAAAAATTAAAACTAAAAAAAAAATAAATAAAACCGATTTTTGTTGAAAATTTTATTTTGAGTTGTAAGTTCATTTCTCCTTGTTGAAAAACCGAAATGCAAAAGTGCATACTGTTCAATTGATCAAAAAAAAAATAAATAAATAAATAAATATGAAAAAAAATTTTTTTTTAAAGATTAAATAAAAAAATTTGTTGAAAATTTTATTGTGAATTGAAAATTGATTCCTTTTTGATGAAAAATCGATATCCAAGACAGATATGGATAGTAAGGTTCAAGGGAGAAAAAAAAAGAAGGGGGAAAAAATGATAAATTGTTTTTGAATTATTTCTTAGCTGAGTCGGAGCTTTCCCTCACATGTTTCCTACGGAAATATATTTTTATTTTGTTTTGTTGATGGAGAGGGTAGGTCTTTCAATTCGAATAAAAAAATAAAGAGAAAAAAAATTCCAATCCATAAACTACACCCATCCGATCGATTTATCGTATGGGTTTTTAGCCGCGCCTATCCTCTATCACGATTCACGCAATTTCGATTTAAACGAGTTTTCGTAGAAGATACAAGTATATTAAAAAGACTTGATGCCGCCTGAACCGCATTATTTTAAGGGTTCCCTGAAATTGTATAGCCACATTAGAGTTGCTTAGTGAGTATTAAACTAAGAGGAAGACATCAATCGCTTCGAAATACTATGCTGTAATAGCTTTAATGGAATTGGATTGCATTGCTTTTGTTTATTTTAAAAGTAATTGAGATATTTATTTTGTTTTAAGGCTACTGAAAAAAATTACCGGATACAATATTAGAGTGAAATATAATCAGTAATAAAAACACGAAGTATTATTTCTAATAAATCATTATTCAAAATTTCATTATTCAATTTTTCAACTTATTCAAAATTACCATCAAAGCCATACGTGTATTATTTATTTAATTTTTAATTATTTATTTTTGTATATCAAATACAATGATGTTGACGTTACATTCGGCTTAATATAAATTTATTTCCTGCGTTATAATTATTTGATTGTTGTATTTATTTACCTATTAATTAAATTTATAATTCTCATAGAAAGCATGTGGAAATAATTACTTTACTTCACACTTTAAAATTGATTATGAACTTAACACGAAATATGTAATAAATTATGAAAAAAAATACTTTTTTTTAAAAAAACTTTATTTCAAATCGGTCAATCAAAATTTTTAAGAATTATTATAGCAGTAGAGTTAACGTCAACTCTATTTTAAAACATTAATTAAAAAAAAAACGGCTTTGGTAATAACTATAAAAATATTTGCAGTTTCGGCTTGTTTATAAGTCCAAAATTACGAAAGGCTTTTAACTGATAGTTGTGAGGGACAAAGATTTTGCTGTCATTCTGATAGCAGCGATATGATGTGCACACTTAAGATAAAAACTTCAGTTTAGACAGCTCCAGATAATATTAACATCATATATTTGAAGAATTTTACAATATTAATAAGGATTAAAAACCGATAATGCAAAAGATTGATTTTATTATTATAAAAATAGTATCAACGAATGGGAAATATATTAATCACTTCTCTGTTTCATACAAAAGCAAAACTATCAAAATATATTAAAATATTAAATCCTTAAAAAGTTATCACTACATCTCCGTGGACATCAATTTATCCGCATGAAATTATAATCCCAAGAAAAGATTTTAAAATCAAAATATAGACAGTCAACGAACTATTATTTCTCATACATAAAAACAGACATCCCAACATTTGTTGCCAGTAGTTGATTGATATCAAATTAAGTCTTTAAAAAGTTACTATTATTTTAATGTGGATATTAACTTATTCGTATGAAATTATAATTGCTAGATAAAATCTCAATGTCTAGAAATAGACAGTCGACGGACTATTATTTCCAATAAGGAAAAAAAAATACATTCCATTCTTGCTAAAAGTTAATCGATATCAAATTAAGTCCTTAAAAAGTTACCACTACATTTATGTAGATATCAATTTATCCATGTGAAATTATAATCCCAAGATAAGATCTTAAAATCCATTGAAAATCTAGACATAGATATTCAACGGACTGCTGTTCCCCATACGAAAAAACAACTAAGACATACCAAAATTTCTTGCTAGAAGTTGATCGATATCAAATTAAGTCCTTAAAAAGTTACCACTACATTTATGTGGATATCAATTTATCCATGTGAAATTATAATCCCAAGATAAGATCTTAAAATCCGTTCAAAATCTAGACATAGATAGTCAACGGACTGCTGTTCCCTATGCGGAAAAACAACAAAGATATCCCAAAATATCTTTAAATACCCTAAAAATTCTTATAAGAAGTTGATCGATATTAAATTAAGTCCTTAAATAGTTATCACTACATCTTTGTGGATATCAACTTATCCGTATGAAATTATAATCCCAAGATAAGATCTCAAAATCCAATCAAAATCTAGACTTAGACAGTCAACGGACTACTGTTCCCCATACGGAAAAACAACACATACAGAGCATCGGAATCTGGAAAAGCACCAACAATTCGGTACGCATGCAGGTTTCTAGTGAATCGAGTCTTTGTTTCCCATCATGCAACCCCGACAGCAGTCAAGGCTACCCATATACACCTGCCAGGTACACACCGCTCCCCATATCCCCATTAGTAACCTTGTGTGCCGATCCTCTGAACTTAAAAGAGGAAATAGGTATGGTATCGCGGTGCGTGTGAGAATTCGGATCTATTCCCTTGTGTCGTTAAATCTGATGTATCTTTTGCTGGGGGGAATTTTTTTTATTTATCACACCATTTCAAAGACGTTCAAGAAGCTGGTTGATGAACCTTTTTGTTCGATATTAACTTATCAGAAACAAAATAATGCTCAGATATTATATTTATTGAATATTTGCAGACATTATGATGAGTTCGTATTCCTCTCAGAAGAAACGAAATTATTCACTCACGGTAAAGATATCATGTACATGGAGCAACTACGAATTATAAAAATATAAATAATTTGTCAAATTGTATTTATTTGCACTCTATTATTTATTCAATTTTTAAATAAAGTTATTTAATATTTGTACACATTTTAATTAATTTGTATTCAAATTACAAAATAAGTTTGAATAGAATTGCTTTTTTTTATGTTTAGATAAATTTTTATAAAATAATAAATAAGTTGTCAAATTATTGACCACAATTTATAATTATAGTTATTTAATATTTGTACACGTTTTAATTATTTCTATTTATCTCACCAAATGAGTATAAAGAAAATTATTTTAATATTAAGACTAATTGTCATAAAACAATAAATAATTCTTCGAATTATTGCTCATTATTCATAATTTATAATTATTTAGTATTTGTACATATTGGATTGAGATTATAATCATCTTAAGAAAGGTGCAAAAGATAAACAAAATTATTCATTTAAAGACAATCAATCATAAAAATAGATTGAAATTAAGTAACTCAGATACATTGTGTTTTTCAGTTTTAGATATTTTTACCAACGTCACGAGTATTTGCATGAACTTTTTTTCATAATATATTGAATTCGTGTAATTTGAAAGGGAAAAAATGTAATTACATTATTAACAAATAGATTTTCAGTCAATATATACATTAACAAACACAATTAATGCACTTTATTTCAACCTATTAATCTTGTACATTGTGCTAATTTTTAATGATTTTAGAACAAATTTTAATTACATTAATTGTAGTTAACAAATAATAAAAAGAATGTCGAAATATATCTGAAAATTCTTTGCGTGATATAGTATATGTAATAAAAAAAAGGAAGAGGGGGAAAAACGATAGCCGATGACAAAATATAGAACAAACTAACAAAATATAGAACACTAACAGACACGTGATGATGTTTTCAAAAATCGTCTGATATTCAATAAAAGCAAACGATAACTGAAAGGGTATCTCATCATATGAAATGGAAAGTGTGAAGGGCAAAAGAGGTATCATTACAAAGCGAGTGTGTGTCATGAGGGCAACAGCGGTATTTTAATTGAGGATTTTGCCACTTCCCTGCCTTTCCATTTAGAACCGGCCATCTGTGACAGAGGATTTGCCGTAAAAAGGAAATGATTCGAATACCAACGTCACTAAGGGCATCCGCAATTTTCACTAGAACGTGTCTTTTTTTTATTGTTTGTTTTAGATGCGAAGAAAAAAGAAAATATATTAGACCCAAAACTTTTTCCAAGTCCGAAGTGATTTGGTTTTATCGAAAGGGATATTGATCGTGTCTTATTAAATCGGGTCGCGTCGTTATTATGCGACTCGTTAAATCTCACAGATTTCTGTCTTTCAAAAACATGAATTCTAAGCATTATTATAATTACAATTTCTAAGAATCAGAAGGAAAAAAATCATATAAGTATAAACAGCATAGCTCTATAGATAACAAAAAGATTATTTGATATTGTCCCCTAACTGTTTCGAAAGTTCTTGTTGGACAGAATTAACAGTGTTTTAAAAAAATAAATAATAATAAGCGCTTTAAAAAACAAAACAAAAATTTAGATATTGTTTAACTATCATTGCCATAAAATTTATAAAAGTTATCATGGTATTTACCTGTAGAGTATTTAACTACTATTAACTATCAGTCATTTAATGATATTTCCCTTTCATTTATTTCCAATCCCTTTTTAATAATATTCTCTGTTATTACTACTGTTTTGATTTGAATTATTATTCAAACTAAAGTACTTAAAACTATAAAACAGGTATAACCAAAACTATAACCTTTATCATATTTTAAAGTGAAAATACGATATTACTTTATTATGCAACATTTTACTACAAAAATATGTTGTTAACGTTTTATAATTATTAAACGGTAAATTAGTTACATTGTCTTTTATTATAAATTTTAGGTAAAATTATTCAAACAATGTATGTATTTAAAATAATGAATACAAAATAACAATTCATTCATAAAATTATAAATATTCATAAAATTACCTCCAATTTTTATTTGATGAGCGTCTTCTTAATATTTTTCAATCGGGAAATGTTTATTACAAAGTGGGCCCTCTTCCTGAAATCAGAAAACTTTTGATACTGTTAAAAGCTTCAATTATAAAATGCAAATTAAAAATGATTTGATATTATTTCACACGTATTTACAATTCAAATAATTTTATTTCTAAGTTCATAAACTTTGTATCGGTTTTTTCATAAAATAGAAAATTATTCACGATTTAAAGAAATTATTTTTTTTGGAAAAACTATTTTTGTTCCTAAGTAATCAGTATAAGGCATATTTTGGGTAAGTAGTCGTCATGGAGAAATCTTCAGAGGAAGGCATTGGCTCACATTGGGCTGTCTGGCCAACTATGATGATGAATTAACACTATAATTTTTTTCCTTTATAACAGTAATTATATTTTTATATACTGCTGTCTATTTCCTTAAAATTGTTCTTTCTTTTTAAATTATTGCTGCTTTTGATAATATAGATTATTACTAAAACTACCTTATAAAATACATTAAGTACTTACTGTGTTTTAAGCATATTAACTAAGTTTACATCATTATCACCACTTTACTTTTGAAATTTTTGCTAGATAGCGTAAGCATATAAAACGTATGATGTATGTGTATGTATAGCATAGCTTCAAATATATCTCATAGGACTAGTTTACCTTGAGATACTTTTAAATTTTGAATATAACAACATTTTAAACTATTTTAAGAGCTGTAATTTTGAGTCATATGAGTAGACATGTCACAATTCGATTAAACAAGTGAGGCTATCAAACAAGTGAGCTTAATCAGTGTAATTTTTTAAGATTTTTTAGTGAAAAAACTTCAAAAATTATTCTGCTACGTTAGAAAAAAAACGGTTTTAAAGCTTTTATATAATACTTGTTCTTCTTCTTTTAGCATTTAAGATTCCAATTTTCTTCACCTCGGTGGCAAGTGTTTGGTTTAGCAGTTAGCACTCTAGGTTTAGGTTAGGTTAGGTTTCTAGGTTAGGTTTAGCAGTTAGCGAATAAAAAATAAGTTTGTGAAAATGATAAGAAAGATTTGTATGGAAAACTTCTTGAACCCCGAGATAGTAAATAATTTTAACTAACTACCCCATCATTATTAATACGACCAAAGTATTCATGAATAAAAAGTAAAAACTAAGTTTCCCAAATTAACTCCAAGATAAATTATAAACTCGGTCAAATTAAATGATAAATAAACAGTTAAAATCCAAATTGGTCATTATAGAAACTGATGCAGGAAAAAGAACTTCAACGTTTCAATTCTAAATAAGGTAAGAGAAATACATGCACGATATCAAAAAATGCGCATAAGCCTATTATAAAGTCACGCAACAATACGACACAGAATATATTTTTCGTGCAATTTATTCTATGCTTCCTTCTTTTGTGTTTATGAAACTAATTATTTCGTTGCGTGAGTTTATTTAAATATGAAAGGGAGTCAACACTTCTAGACGGTGCAGCAAAAAATGAAAATAAACTATTTAAGAAAATCCTTTTATAATAGTTATGTAAAAAAATCCAAAGAACTAATTTGTAACTATTTTATAACTTGAATTGCTGGATTTAAAAACGCCCAAATATTTTTTTATAATAAAATTGGAAAAATAAATGTTTGCATTAGAAGAAATAGCTCTTCTCAACTTTTAAAATTTCTACTGATTTTTCTCAAAAATATAAATAATAAAACTATACAATAAGTAATTTTGAATAGGTATGCTGAGAAAAAAAAGTATGGTTAAAACTTCAAGAATATGGTAAAATTCATCGTGTTTGTGGATCTATGGGAACACCAAAAAACTCGGTAATTTTTATCGAAACGTTTGGTAATGATTTTGGTAAAATTGAAATAAAATATGGTTTTAAAATATGCAAAAAAATGTTGGCAAAAGTGGCAATTTAAATCCTATCATAGTAATTTTATCATGATACCTAAGAGCATAAAAACTTATTTATTTGGTAAAATTTATTTTTCAGTTACGTAATTTTTTTCTAAATGTGAGGTAATAAGAACAATAATTTTGAAAAACAATTTCCGGTAGACCGTTATCATATGAACGGAAAAATTACCTAATGAATGGTTTAAATAACGTATAATTTGGTTTTGTAAACCGTATATGTTTATTTATTTTTTTTAAGCATACAGTACGGCATTTTTACCAGAATTTTTTACTCCGTGAAGTTGAATATTAACAATTGCTGCGTTTTATATTTTTTAAGGTTTAATTCTATCGTTATTTTAATTGATAATCCTGCTCTTAGCAAACACCTGACGTTTACCGAAGCGCTTTAGTAATAATTATGGTAAATTTATCGATAAAATATGGTTTTATAATAGGTGAAAAAATTTGGTGAATGTGTTAAAATTTCATAATTTTATTATGATGTCGTACAGCATGGATAGAAACCATTTATTCGGCTGAATTTACTTTTCAGTTTTGTATTTTTACTAAATGTGTGGTAATAAAAAATATAATTTTGAAAACCAGAATTTCCGGTAAACCATTACCATATGAGCGAAAGAAATCACCACATGACTTGTTTAAATACCCTATATTTTGATTTTTTAATACTAGAATTATATATAATATATTAATACATATATATATTTTAAACAGAAAAGTCATTACCACCAAAACATTTTTTACACCGTGTATGGATTTGATTACAAATTCGTTATGGACCGGCTGTTCTATGCAGACGATAAACATAATCGACGATAAACAGCAGAACTATGCAGACGATAAACATAATTTCACTTCATTGATTGAATTACGAAAATAAGCGAGAAATTAAAAGTGTCAACAAATTCAACAAACCACGGTGCTTACAAAAATAAGTTTAAAAAAAAATAACGAAGACCCCGTGCACTTTTAAAATCAGAAACTTTTCCTGACGAGGTTTTTCCTGTTTTCATTCCCAAAGGTCTCCTGGAGACAAAGAAACCCACTCTTCCAGTACTTGGATTCAACCCAGAGACCTTCTAAGCTCGCTAAATTTATTTCGGCCAATGTCAGCAGGCAAGAACCACGACAATCGTAAACTCAACGAGCCGAGAGAGGAAAACGATACCTCAGCAATTTTTTTCCTCTTTTTCTGTACCTGTCGACAAGTGGTTCATGTTGGCTCAGCTTTCATTCCTGATTGACGTCTGTTTGTTCGAAATTCGATATTGGAGCACCCTTCACACGTTCATCTCTGGATCTGCCTACCTAATAGGAAGATAAAGGTGCATCGACGTTCTTTGTTTCTGCTCTCGAAATTTATGTGATTTGTTCATAAGAACAATGATGACACAAGGGTATAGTAAAAATGATATTGGTCACTAGAGAGTGATTAGAATCTTTGGTATTCATTTTATATAGGGTGTTTTCTAATTGCGATCCTTAAAATTTATTTTTACGATCTTAGTCAATGATAAAGTGACCTTGTAATTTTGAACCATACCCAGAAGACGAGGGAACTTCTGGATCAAGCACTGGGGAACTAGCCCTAGGGGAAATTTTTTTTGGATAGAACTAACCCACATTTGCTTTACATAGAGCGGAAAACAACGAAAACCTCAGCGGTTTCTCTGACAGCACGAAATCCATGACAGTAGATGGATCATTATCCGTCAACCACTGAGGATATTTTACGTCAGCACTGTGGCCGATACGAGCCGGGCGCAGAGATCGTTCAACCGTTCGCTGGGAAGGATTTGAACCTGGGTCACCTCATTGAGAGGCAAACGCTGTATCCTTTGAGCAACAGCGGCTCAATTAGGGATATTTGTAAAATATATGGATTGGACAGTAGTTAGAACACGCAAGTTAACCCTCTGAAAAGTCACAATTTTAATTCTTTGACTAAAAATAACATAACATTTATTGTTAACTTAAAAAAACGAACAAAAAAATATTATCACTCTTGTCATGAATAAGCTGCTTGTGATACGAATTGGTTTAAAGGTAGCAAAAATTTACTAAGTTTTCTTTTTAGAATTATTTTCCGAATTGTCTTAAGGGTTAAACACATTGAGAACTAAGCAAAAATACGACAGTTTCAACAAAACTGACTAAACATTACACTCAGTATCGGTCACACAGTTTTGAATTGGTAGTCACAGTTTTGAATCGGTAAGATTTAACTTGATTAAAAAGAATAAAAATAAAAACTACATTTTTATTATTATTCTCTCCAGGCTACTGAGGTTTTTTCTAATTTTGTTTCTCACCTTTATTATCCCCTTAACTAGTTTTTCCACACAAATACTCGGAAAAAAAAAATTCTTATTTCAAATGAACGTTACCCATTTCCTGCAATTTGCATGAAAATGAGAAATTTATAACAATTATTTATTTCGCAGAACGTTTACGTATGCAAAGCTATGTCTACTTTTACAATAAAATTAGATCAATATAATAAAAAAATAATTAAATAGTTAAAATAGAATAAACCCATGAACTTTAAATAGAAGCCGATACAATGTAGGTTTTCCCGGTATGGAAGAAAATAAAGAAAAATCGATTTAATTTGCATGAAAAACAAGGCGTATTTGACGTCATTATGTTAATTTATGCTCGAAGTCCGAAAAATCGCATATTGATGAGAAACAAGGAAACGGAAATGTGAATTGGCGAAAAAATATTTTCACATTCGGTCTTTTCTATCACGCGCGAGGTGAAGATCAGAATATTATAATGGTATAATAAATATCTGTATAAACCGGTACTTTGAAGAGAAATGGGTAATTCACGTCTTTTTCTTCGAGAGTGAGGAATGTGAATTTCGTGGAATGCATTAAAACATTCTAGATGAATTGAAATGTCGCCCAGCTAGGTATTGTTTTCGTTTATTTTGTTCGGTGACCATAGAGAAGCTGCCAAGCGATATTCGCATAATATTTTTTTTTTAATAATTTCTACCTTAAATAATGATTGAAAAATAACAACGCATAGCTCTGCCGCAATTTTTGATAATGTAATGTATTAATTCACAGTAAGAGGAAAAGAAATTCGTTTTATTTTAGGACTACAATACACGTTTTTTTTTTTATTAT